ACAGCATCGTTTCACGACTTTGGAGACAATTTCAAACTACAGGAACAGCTATCCGGGGGTTTAGTAGTGGTCGCCCACGAGGAACCACACCCGCAGATGACCGGTATATATCCTTACAGGCCAGAAGAAACAGGCGGCAGACAGCGGGAGAAATCGCTAGACACACGACACCAGGCGACTGGACGACCGATATCGCGTTTTACCGTGGCCAGAAGACTGCACGGTGGTGGTCTGTTTGCACGACGCCCTGTACGGTGTGTACCTCTAACGCCTGCCCATCGGAGAAGGCGTTCTCTGTGGTTCCGCCGAACACCGGAATTGAGAGAGAACAATGAATGGGGACGAGTACTCTTTACAGATGAGAGCAGATTCATTGTAAACAGTAAACATTGAGTAGCGATTCTCATCGCATACTCATCTGGAGAGAGCGGGGAAGCCGCAATCATCCCTCGAACATCATTGAAAGGGACAGGTATGGAGGTGGCGGTGTTCTCGTTTGGGGAGGCATCATGCTTGGTAGTCGTACAGACCTTCACATCTTCGACGCAGGTTCAGTCAACGGGACCCGTTATTGTAACGAGATTCTTCTTCCATATGTGCGTCTTTTTAGAGGCGCTATGGGTCCGCAGTTCCTTTTCATGGACGACAATGCACCATGTCATCGCACAGTAGCTGCCGAACAGCTCTTAGAGAGTGAGGATATTGAACGTATGGATTGGCCGGCACGATCTCCGGATCTCAATCCCATCGAGCATGTATGGGATTTTCTAGGCAGACGCTTGGCAGCTCGTACCTTACCACCAGTAACGATTCCGGAGCTTCGATTGGCGCTGCAAGACGAATGGGCAGCAATGCCTCAACAACTCATTGACACCCTCATTCTCAGCATGGGCAGACGCTGTGAAACCTGCCTAGCAGTCAGGGGAGATCATATCCCCTATTAAAGACCGGATGTTTCTTGCTGGACACCCATCACAGGGATGTTTCGGCCTTCAGTCGCATTGCGCTCCATGCTACTTTTTCAATAAAGCTTCTTTTTATCCCTCTGATTTCTCTTTTAGTAAGTGTTGCTTACATTACTCATGTCCTTACGTATTGGGGATCTTACGGTATTAAATGTGTTGATTTGGAAAGCTTTTATACAAAGTTATATTGAAAAAACCGTCTCGTCCTAATTTTTGCACACCAGTGTATGTCTCGATCTTCCTTGATTATTACCAAACAAAAACATCCACCACCCACCGCGAAATCTTAAATCGTCCACTACTGGGCGGGAGGGACCAGGTCCATTATCCTTTGTATAAGTATTAACTATAGGAAATAGTAGCAAAAGTTTTTATAGTGCTTTTGTTTTCTTTATACTGGTTAATAAGTTAGTAATAGCTTCCCACGAACTGCTACCGTAAGCTGTAATCAATATCAATAGTTTACTCGATTACTTCTGGACAAGCAAGATTTTGCATTAGAACAAGTAGCAATTGTAGCATATCGATGTGTAGTAAATAAAACATAGAGTATTATTTTTAGTATTTACGTTTTATTCCCTACACACAGCGAATTAATTTAATTTTTCTTCTGTATATAATTTGGTCAATAACTTGCCTCAAGACATGAACTCGTATGAAAATGGAACTAATCAAAATCGTGCTTCGAGTTAAAATTTTATCAGTCACAAATATTTGAAAAAAAATCTGTTGTAGAATTTTATTATTAATTCTGTATAGAGAGGAGGTTTTAGACTCGTAAAACTACAATTCAAAGAAATAAATTCAGGGCGTTTGATTGAATCGATTCTTCCGATCCCACGTTCGATACTTTTTGCTTTTTGCTCTAACTTCGCTAACAGGTTCCAATCCATTGCTCGCAGGATTCTGGCAGACTTCGCTCGATCATAGCTAACCGCTCTTCATTTATCCGTCATTCTGGTCCTTTTCTAGCAAGGTTATTGTTAGTGAATGGTGAATTATAAAAAATCTGATGTGTACACCACATGACTTCCTTGTACGGAATATTAAATTATACACATTTTTTCTTGCATTTCATTTAAACTTATTGGACTGAAATTAAATCTACTTCGCCGACAGCGCATAAACGACAATAGAATAAATGCATTCTTCAAAATTCACTCTAGTATTTGTTTACCATAGCGACACTCTGGCGCTAGATTCACTTAAATTATGTTTCGTTCATATTATAACTCAGAATGCACAAAATTTACATCATTTAAAGAATAGAATTATCTAATAGTTACCACATGTTCTATTCAAATACTATAATAAAGCTAGAACGCTGTATAAAAGAAATCAAGCAAAAAAAAAAAAAAAAAGAAACAATTTTTCACAGACGATTGAGTTTTCTCATTCAATTAATTCAGTTCTCACTTCGCGAGAAGGTAAAAATACATAAAAACTCAAAATATCTATATTAAAAATTACGAAGTAAATCTTAAACACATATTTCCTCGAAAAAATTCCAGAAAGGATTCAGCATGATTTAATTCGCAATAATAAATGAAGGCGTTATCTTTGTTGTTGCGAAGCTACGTTTCTCTAGATTGGCAACAAATCCACTAGTCTGCTGTTTCAAATGTAAACAAACAATGGCCGCCATCAAGAAAATGATTAGGCTTAGCAGCACTTAAACAACTTTAAAATTGTTGATAATTCTAAAAATATTGCATAGAGATTTACTAAAGGCATAAAAACCTTAACCGGAAGATAAAAACAACAAAATTCAATCATTTTTAAAGCAAAAAATGTACAATTTACAAACATATAAGCGTAAAGAAACTGAGATCACTGAGCCGGGTAACAGAGTGGATATATATATAAATATATTTATATACGTTTGGTGCGGCCGATTGCAAGCAAAATACGAGGTGCACATTTACATTTTATAGCAGTCCTATATACAAAATTTCAACTTTCTGAGGTTACTCGTTTTGAGTTATGCGAGATACGTACGTACGTACGTTCGTACAGACGCCACGAAAAATTCTCTTCAGAATTCATTTTAAAGCAGTTTTATAATTTTTTTGGAGAAAAGGAGTCTTTTATTCTGTCCTTACGCACAGATATCACGCAAAAGCATCGTTAAATTGCATTCGATAGCGGTCAAAATGGATATTTTCGTTGAAATATCCTGCCCGAAACTTTTCGCGATTACACTACTTCCTTTTTACTTCGTATAAGGAAGTAAAAAGGACCGATTTATTCAAGGAAACAAACTTTTCTGATGCGATCTCATCAAAGTGCGTTTTCGCTTATCTCTAATGTGGATGAGGTAAAAGAAAATGCTTTACTTTATTTTAATAATATTCCATATCAAGAGTTTCTGAGTCTGTTTCCATGATTTCAACAGAAAGAGTAACGTTAGGAAAAGTGTATCCATGCTGCTGGAAAATTCTTTGCAAAGGACAAAATGATATAATGGCTTAAAATAACTATGGTACATATGATATAATGGCTTAAAATAACTATGGTACATATGATATAATGGCTTAAAATAACTATGGTTATTTATGGATACCCCAGTCTTATGATAAAAACAAAAACACTTTCTACTTGTTAGAATAAATTAGTATCACTTTTGCGTAATGAAACTCGGCAAGGTCAAAAACGAGTGAGCGCCAAACGATATATTGGCGATAGAGGGCTCTACCTAGGTTTTTAGATGCAGGAGTCTTAAAAAGATTTTGTGCTTGCGTTGTGTTTCTGCTTCATTCTTTTTCAGCCATGTTAACTTTATTGTATGGAAGATACACCGAATAGTATTGCTTAATATTAGGCAATACTATTAGGCTATCTAGGTCTTAACGTTTAGGCTAGCTTCAGGCTTACCTTTATAGGCAAGCCTAAAGCTGTTTAAAACTTATAAATGAATCTCTTATAAGTTATTTTTTTCCCAACACTTCGATTTAAATGTTTGTAAAGACTGTTAACTTTGATTTTGGTTTTATTTGTGTTCTATTTGAGCTAAGAAAATTCTCTTAAATTGTTAAATAAAGATATCATAGCTATTCTATCTTATAATTCTTTAATAAAACTGTGCTAAGTAGAGGATAGTGTACTCAAACGTCTTAACTGTGTAAAGTGCACGACCTATCAATACTTTGCTTGTGCGAAGTAAAGGAAGTATCGTAATCGCGAAAAATTGCTGGTATCATATTTCAAAGGAAATATCCTTTTTTTACCGTTCTCGAATCCGTTTTGACTATTTTGTGCTTGACGCCTGTACGTACGGTTAGAAAAAAGAAATTTAAAATGGATTCTAAATGGATTTTTCACAACATCTGTACGTAACGTACTTACGTATCTCGTATAACTCGAAGACAATTAGCTGTAGAACGTTAAAATTTTGTATATGGGTCTGCTATAACATCTAGTTGTGCATCTCCCATTTTTACTTTTTATCCCTTTTATATATATGTATAATACTTTTTCCTAACTTAAAAGTCCTTACCTGGCTTTTATTTTCGCAATTGTTGGTTGTATTCATATAAATTGTTGGTTGTAGTCACTTAAAGAAGCAGTTTAATTGACGAAAATATTAAAATTTTGGATTTTTAAATGTCAAATTTAAGAAAAAATTTAATTTTAATAAAAGAACAAAATCTAACTTTTAATACGGTCTCCCGCTTCCTATAATAATATTTTTGAAATATTTATATTCGTAATGAAAATAAAAATAGACGAAGTTTGATACGCGTAAGACAAAAAACTGATCGGGATGTTTAATTTCAAGATTTGCAGTTTTTGAAGTCATTATCAACTTACTTCGAGGGATCGGTTGTTTAAGTTAAAATAATTTGAGGAAATAATTTAAAATGAAGTGGAGTAAAAAATGCTTATATTTATATACGTTAGTATAGAAAGTAGTATATAATACAAAGTAGTCATATTGTGTCCACATAATATTTTTATAATTTAACCAACAGTATGATTTTTTATGATAAATTTGAGTATTCCTACTGTGATTCAGAAAAGAATACTTCTTTGCAGAAGGAAGACAGCCTAAAAACATGGGAAGTGGTCTTTTTCAAGCTCTTCGGGAACCTGGTCGTCCCACTTACTACGAAGAGAACAGATGGCCTGTAACGGCAGATACGGTGGTGTATGGCATTATTTATGGCTTCTTGGCAATTGCCTTCTCCATGTATGTGGCTATCATTGGCATTCGAGGAGTTGAAGTAAGTAACAAACACGAACTCATAACGTGTATTATGCAAGTTTCAGCTTTCAGTTTGTTAATATTGAAAAAATATATCGCATTTCCTCGAGGCTTTTCCCCTCTAGCTTTTTTGTGCTATGCTCTGAAATTTTTTTAAATATTCGCCTAATTTCCCCCTTTCTTTACTGCAAATACTTTATATCTCTGAGGGTAAGTTTATTTGCAAATTGTATTTCCTTTACTGTTTTTATTTTTATCCAGCATATTTAATTTGTGTTTGCATTTTTGTATTAGTATTTCATCCTTTTTTCTTTTCCTTTGCATTTATTAAATCAAACGTATTTCATGCAGATCCTTCATTAAGCTACCCGGACGTGTTAGATGTTTTCACATTTAAGTAACTTTCCAAACATATGATTTCACTTCACTTCTACTATTTACGTTCTATCTCACTATAGCTTAATCTACTGCTGATGTGTTCCATCTGCCACCCAGACGGAAAGTGGTTAGGGGAGCCTACTGCGGTATCGAAGGATCCGGGTTCGCAACCCGGAGAACGCATGGATGTTTTAAATGTACAATATCTTTGCGGCATGGGGGCACTCTAAATATAGAGCGTGCCGAAAGTCCTCTCGTGTGGATTTTTGGTAAGGAAGAGGGGCGGGAGCCCCTCGGACACCTCTCCTCCGGTTCCTGTCCCTCAAAATTAGGGTGGAAATAGAATTTCAACCTCCTTGAGTCTCTGGCAACCATTATTCCATGAAGTTCATAGGTAAAACAACATGTGTTCCATTTTTTCGAAATTCGAATCTTTTTTTGTCCCTCCTTCTGTTAAGGAATATTCTTTGCTATCGCCAAGAGATGGCGTTAGAAGTCCATCTATTGGCTTACTTGACGCTTCCCATTCTGAACACGTGACTTGAAATTTCATTCTTGTTGAAGGTACAATTTCGATGCACTACGCATTAGAATTCGATTTAGATTCTTTGATGGAACTATTCAGTTCTTGCTTTTTGAGCCTTAATATTCGATTCAGGCATTTTAGCCTACATTGTATATATGTAAATATTAAGTTTAATTAAAATTTATGTAAATCCCTCCAGGCCATGCATCACATTTTGGATTATGAGTGATTCGAATTTGATCTAGAATAACTTTCGTTTCACCTTCTTATTCGTTTCTCCGATTCTTCTCTTTGGAACTGTGGATCAAGACTCATTCATGTGGTTTGTTCCTGCGGCCTTACAAGGTAACTGAGCCGGAGACATCGCGAAGTTAGTTTATTATCGTCATATATCGACTCCATTATCCATAAGATATGGCAATGTTAATATTACTATGGGTTCTTATTCAAATGTAGGTTTCTTTTAGAGAAATAATACTTTGATAGTTATCAGTCTTGACTACTTTCCATGAATACTCGTACATTCCATTTATTATGTTCTTACTTCTTCGGAAATTAAATGACTCGCATAATTTTCCACGCTCGATTTTTGGGTGATAAAATTAATTAAAAAAGGAAAATATGGTAGTAGCAATCAAAAATTAATTTAGCTTATAAATTCTGAGTTTTAGTTACAGGTGAAAACAACGCAAAGGAAAATATCGTCGTGCAATGCATTGTAGGAGGAGGAGAAAAAGAAAAAGAAACCACCATAGTTCTGAAACATCGTAGTATAAAACAAGGTCATGAAAAATATAGTTAAAAAACTTAAGTTTTAAAACATGGTCGTGCAAAATATTGCAATGAAAAATAAAGCACCTACAAATCATCGCATGATGGTAACATAGCGGACATGTGTTTGTAAACGTTAAAAAGTGTGGTCTTTATTAACGCGCCAATGAGAGACAATTTTTTTACGGATGATAAGGGAAAAATCACTTATGGAAATTTTTGCGCATTCTTTTAAAACGTTAGCCAAACTATCTATCTCTATTTTTCGTGAGTCCGTAAACATTTTCAACACGCCAAAAGAAAACATGTTTTAGCAAATTAAAATTCATATTTTAATTCTTACATAAATATAAAAAACAGTTATAGTTTTCTCGAAATGCTTCGGTAATTTTTTGCCCTGTGTTTCGTGTACATAGCTATTTATTTTCGCTTAAAAAAACATCAGAGAACTATACAACCTCGACATCGCTATCAGTTATCTGTCAAATGTCTCTTACTGTTATTCGTTTTAGTAATTTAAGTGCAAAATACTGTTGTCGGGCAGAAATTTTACCTCAGTTTTCTACCATTGTCGACAAATTCCACAAATGAATATTTTAAAATTGAGTTTAAGGGGAAAATATTGTGACTGGTCTATGAAAACCATTCGAACTTGGAACATAACGAAATTAAGGCTTACGAAAATGGCGGCGCTGCTTGACGGAAGGATTGTTTTGATCATGGTTGCCTGATGAATATTTCTTTGCATGGCTGCCAGAGTTTTTCACATTCTGACACATATTCCATATATTTAAGGACTTCTATTAAGGTTATTAAATACATGTTCGCGTAATTATTTGTGAACGCTAAAAGGAATGAAAAATATTTTCACATCTCTATTTCATATTTTTGAATTCATAAATTTTCACTGAAAAAGGAGATTGAAAATGAGTAGTAAAACTGAAAATAAGTAGAAAATTAATACTACATATAACTGCTAATAGAACTAGAACTTCTATAATAAACCAATAAAAGTCCTTATTTAATTAATGTCTCTTATAAAGTTCGATTAGCATTAATATCTTTTATGAAGTTGACTGGTAGTGCGAACATGCATTTAAAGTGTTTAAAATCAGAAAACACATGTCTGCAATGTTATCCTGCAGTACGTCATGATATACACCATGATTTGTATATTCTTTTTTTTTTTTTTTTCTTATAACGTGCTCCGCCCTTAGGCACTACACGGAAAAGGAGGAATGCCTCAAGGAGGTCTTTTTAAGAGAAACTGGATCGTATCCACGTTACACATGGGGAAAACCACGAAAACGCCCCTGCAGCCAGCACGTTCGCCAAGACTCGAACCCCAAACCAAACTACCAGTGTTCAGCGGCCTTTACCGCTGGGCACGCTGGTGGGCCAAGACTTTGGTATTGCGATTTTTTTTTCATACTCTTTTTTTGTACTACCATTTGCTTTGTTTCTCCGCGATGTTTTCGGCGGACAGTACCAAGAGCTTTCATATCCTTTGTTTAATGGAAGAAGGATTACTCGTTTCAAGACTAACAAACCCAGAATTTTAAGATGCCGCATTAAATGTGTAAAAATTCTAAAATTATAACTTCTGTGGTACAAAATTCATTTAACATCACACATCAAGTAAAATTAAAACTCAATTTCTAAGCCATTCCTGGTGGGTTGCAATTGAAAATTACGTAACAAGTTAAAACTAGGACTTGTCATATAAAGTGATTATAAATACGATTGACAGATAACTAATGCTATAGTTAATTACAAAACAATGTTCTAAGTTAAAAAAGTAATCACTCAGTTGGCCTGCCTCAAAGCTACGGAACGGTCGATATTTAGCAACGTCAGACTGCTGCTGACCTGCTTCTAATCGACCTGTGGCGAACATTGCCTCGAAGACGTTTTTAATTTTTCTATCTCGAAATTGTTTAATTTACCGTCATTCACTGAATACCGATTTCCTCCTAAACAGCCGGTTTTACAGTATTGTTAAGAAATGTCCAGGCGCAGTAAGATAGCTTCCCAGCAAGGCAGGTTTAGGATTGCCATAAAATGACAAAAGAATGTAGGGTTGCCACATTTGGCGAAAAATCGCCCATTTGGCGACATTTGGCGATAAAACTGGCGATATGCCATAGACGGATGGAGAACCTTCTGGAGCGAATTTTTACTGGTTTAGCCCAGAATGTTCTCGAATACAAGCCAAAAGCTATATAAACGTTGCTGGTGGGCGGAGTCAGTGAGAGTTTGTCTGTGCGGAGTTAGAGAGTCCATCGAGTTGACAGTCGGTCAATGCCGAGTAGGTCGCCATCGTCGAGAGAGTGTGTTGAGCTCCGGAAACGATTGAACCTAGGAGTCGGGAGCTGTACTGTAGGGTATCGTCGAATGCCTTGCGAGTTGTAGCGTGGAGAATCTCGAGAATACGTGGAGTTCCAAGAACGACCGAGCAGAGTCGGGAACTGAACTCTGATGCTTAGCAGTGAAGCTGTCTTCACCGTGATAACCTGATAACCTGAAAGATGTGTCGCTGATTGTTTCAGCGAGTTTATAGTAGATCTTTGACGACTGCAAACGTGATATTGGAGCTGCCTTGAATAATACTGTCCAATAATGTGTGTTTTGGATACTTCATCAAGTGTCGTCGTTATTCACTCCAAATTCGCACGAACTCGTACGAACGCAAGTGAAATAAAGGAAGGAAAAAAAACGCAACAACTGGTGTCAGAAGTGGGATTTGCGAGTGAATGCCAGTGATCCGTCTGCGAAGGAAAGGCATGGCGGAGGAAACGAAGACTTTGGCGGACATTTTAGCCGAGATCAAAGCCGAACTGAAAAAGATGAAAGCCGGACAGGAAGAGATGAAAGCTGAAATGAAAGCCGGACAGGAAGCAGGAGGAGATAAAGTCTGAGATCAAAGCCGGACTGAAGCAGATGAAAGCTACACTGGAAGAGAAGAACGCCGGACGAGAAGAAATAAATGGCGGCCAAAAAAAGGTGCGAAAGCAATTCCCACAGATGAAAGTGGTGCTTACTGTAGAAAGCAGAGCCATAAAAAAAGATGTGGAAATGACAGAAGTGGCGTCTGAAGAATCTAAGGATGGAGAAATGAATGGAGAAGCTCATGAAGTGTCTCAGGAAGATCAAGAAATGAAGGATGAAACATCTAACGGGATTAAAGAAAAAGAACGAAAACATGAAGAAATAAAAGACGGGAAGCTAGATTTTGTTTCTCACGTGCCTGAAGTAGATAGAGATAGAAGAAAGTGAAAATGCGACTGTCAAATAAACTGCTAGTGAAGTTACGAAGTTGCAGGCAGGAAGTGCTGAACCATCTGAAAGTGCATATGATGCAGAGATGGGAGAAGCTGATGCACAGCTTAAGCAGTGTGCCCTATATTGAAAGAAAATTCACCCACTTTACAATTTCTACAACTTCTTTACATTATAACTTCTTAGTTTATTAAAAGACACCTTAATCTGGTTTATTTCGAAGCATAAGAAAAGACTGTTACTGCTAGGAATCCATAATAATGTGACTATTCAATAGAAGTGTGATCAATATTTTTGTCAGCAGTTCTTCAGCTTTTATTTTATCAGTCGATTATGTTTAAAAAAACTTGGTGACTAATGCGCGGATGGGCTTGAATTAAAACCCCGGATAAAATATAGAAATTTCATTGTGTCTTTGCGGAACACAGGAACTTGCAATTTGAATCTTGTTTATAGTAAATAGACCCGAGACCTTAGGGTTGCAGCCCCCGAATTGCTTTTTATAAGAATGAGAAAAAATTTAAGCAGACTACCTCACGTGCTTTGCCTTAATTAAAATAATGCTATTGCCTAATAAAAAATGCTATAGCTATTGATTTATTTGTTACACTAAAAAGGCTAATTGGTCTTGAAACACCATTTTACGTTGTTTAACTTTTCATTGATGTTTGTAGCAAAAAATAAGATAAAAAAGTAAGATATTATTCTTTCATAGTTAATGTGTTTGTTATTACTTAACAAGCTAAACTGCTCAAAAAGCAACATATACAGTTCTTAAAAATATTATTATTTTTTTTTACTTTTTAATCTGATGGATTTAAATAAAAATGCATTGGTTCATGATATATCTAATTAAAAATCATTGAATATTTTTATAGAATTATATTACATACTTTTTCGATCTTTAAAGGTACAGAAGATATATATATAACATCCCCATGTTAATCAAAATGCATATTCATTTAGTATCCTATAAAACGTTTCGCTATTCCATCTTGCTTATCTCTATCGATAAGCTCTGTACTCTTTTAAGTGATCGTTAAAATTTGAATCCTTTCAAATTTTATTTTTGCAAATGTTTTTGACATTTATCTGATGAGGTAATACTGACACTAAGTTTTTGGCCTGGTAACTTTGGTAAGATGTATTTTAATATTTTGTATTCAGTTAATAAATATTTCTTATATATCTTTATTAATACGAAAATTTTCCATACTTTCAGAGAGTATATGTATTTACCAGGGTTACAATAAGTCTCTTCATTGGTGCTGTCATATTAGGTAATGCGTAACTTTCTAAATCATTAGTGTTGCATTCGTTTAATAAAAATGCAATTGCTATTATTATATACTATATATATATACGCATGTGTAATGTAATAGATTGGCGATAGTTTATTGAGTTATAATAAATAGGAGATTATATATATATATATATATATGTAAGATTAAAAATATGTCAATCAAAGTAATAACTTAAATTAGTAGTTGCCCTTAATGCTTGATTTTAATTTGTGTGATTCCCCTCAATATTCTAAAAACAGTAATGATTTTTTTCTAAATTGTGCCACTGAAAAACTAACTTGCGTTATGCCATTTGCACTACGTGGAGCTCTTGGCCAATCATCGTTCAAAATTAAAACAGAGGATTCTAATTCTTATATATAGATCTTGCTGAAATTCGCACTCATATTTCCTACTCGCTCTTGCCAGGTTAGCTCATATCTCGCCTCTTTGCTATATCTTCTACTGTTTAAACATGTAATATGTGTATATAGAATTGCTGGGTGCTTGTCCCATCCATAGTGATGTGAAAACTAGAAAATGTAACATAAGAAATTATTAATCAAGCAATAAAATTATGTAACTTTGTAATCTACTAAAAATTGAACGTCTGAAAGTGTTTTCTTTTGCATAAAACATGTAATTAAAAAAATTCTAACTTTATTTTCGTTTAGTCCCTTAACTCTCCATTTTAATTTGCTATTTCCCTTTTATCTTTTAATAATATATTTCTTGGTAATAAATCGCTCTAATGTGAGTCATTCATTAATCTCTGTGTTACCCACCTTTTCTCGCAGGTCCCCTTTTTCACAGTTCTCAACTACCTGTCCCCTTTTTTCCACCAGCTTTAGCACCTACAGATTTTTTCCTTATAGATGTTTAAATAAATGTTAGAATTTTTAAAGTTTGCTCTACTATAGGAAACGGTACATACATATATTATTAAAGCTAATTTGATGTAAATCTTTTATTCTGAATTACATTCGACTGAATTGCAAAAGCTTTGGAAAAACTCACTTCAAGAAAAAAGGGTGGGATCTGAAAATCAAGATAATGCTCCTTAAAAAATTCACTTATGAATAAACGATATAGCTATTGATTTTTCCCCTGCTGAAAGTTAAATTATGCAACAGCTTATTGGACAGTGACACACTTCTAAAGGAAGATAATAATTCTTTCAGATTGCCCGGATTAGGGAAAAAGTAAGTCTGAAAGGCAGCTTTACAGGATACGTATTTTATATAATTAATAAATTAATTTCGACATAAATGGGTGATTTATTTTAGGTAGATAAGTATCGTAACTCATTATATAAGTATTGTTTTATTTTTCAACAAGGACGTCAATCTCAGAATGCGAATTTTTAAATATATTATTCTATTAAAATAACACTTATTTTAAATATATCATATATTTTATCAATTTAAATATCATCATTTTTAAATTAAAAGTACTTCTTCCGTTATGCGGCCCCGAAGCAATTTTATGCGAACCGCGACGGCGTTTTGTTGCAAATACGGTGCTTATAATTTTAAAGACATAAAGATATGGACTAAGGTTATGTGCGGGACCTGCTATTGCAGGGAAAAAAGGATAAAGTAAAGAGGTTGAGGCTTTGTCATCGTATGCTTCCATGTAAGCGGCGATGTACTTGTGGCCACGTTGAGTGGACTAATGTGGGAGAGTGTTTCATGTCGGCACACTCAGTAAATTTTCGTTGCCATCCCGCCACTGGTGGTTCCACAATATTCCGAAATTAATCTACAATATTCTTAAAATTAATTAATAAATTAAAAATTAATTCTACAATATTCTGAAATTAATGTCTTAAAGGCGGTACAGCTGCTGATCTGGTGGTAAATAAATATTCTGAAATTTTCGATTCTCCAGTTAAATTTATTTAGAAGTTATTTACCGGTTAATTGAACGTATCGGAATTATCTGAAATAAATATCATTCTAAAATTTAATATTTATCTGTCAATGCGTTTGAATTACAAAGTATAACCAACAGAAAATTTTTTTAGGTACCAACTTCTATGCTTTAGAGAGAAAGTAAATATAAGTTTGATTTCTTTTCCACTGTGTTATTATTGCTCATGTATGTTTTGATAAATATTTATATTTTAAATATTTTTTGATTATTTACTTTTGACTTAAAATGTTTGTACATTTTGTTAAAAAATTGTTCTGGGCCGTCAGCTGCTTTTAAATGAAGCATTCAGCCGGCATGCAGTTTGAGCTTGAGACCATTGCGTTATTTGATTTGCATCCTGGTGGGAGCCGACGAAAGTAGAAGTGAATAAAGTTAGTCATACGTAAAATCTTACATACCTTACATCTTAATCTTACAATTTTAGCCATATCTGTGTTTAATACGATTTGCGTTTTCGTTGGAGTTTAGCATTTTGAGCGCGCTAAAGAGAATCGAGATGAAAGATACATTTTAATGCGGATCTTCAGATAATTAAAATTTTTTTTTCTAACTTTTTAACTTGAAGGCCAAACGCATAATCTGCAAACAGCTGACGCGCCAGCAATGTTTTTTAATGAAATGAAATTTTTTTATCAACAGAATAAAAATATTTTAACTACATTTTAAATATGGCTTAATAAGTAAATTTATCAAAATTTACATAAACAATAATAATAGCAAAGTGAAAGAAAAAATTAATATTTATATTGATTTTCTATTTGGAATCTAAAGTTTGGTACTTGCAAGACATTTCCGTTGGCTACAACTTTGCAAATGAAACATATTGACAGCTAAATATTAAAATTTATTAAAAAGAAACAAATTAGGAAAACTTTCCAAATGGGACAATACCGCAGGTAAAAAGTGACAAAATATTTTCTTACCCTTATATGCTAAATATTATATTATATCCTCTTTCTATGATAGCTTCGATGAATAAATAAAAATGCGTATGTTTGTATGTGAATTATTGTAAACTTTATTTCTTACAGCAGCTTGACACTGGATGACTTTTCCATTCTTATAAGTCTGCCCTCCTGAAGAAAAAAATTACTAGAAATCATCTTTATCACAGATTGTAATTGCTTATCGGCTATTCGGGTTCTTTTCTTATGAATTTTTGTATGCGAAGAAACGGTGTTCACACAGAAATATATTCATATAGTGTTTGGTCTTGTTGTAAAATTTCGTAGTTTAACGTCAGTGTTTGAGATATATGAGTAAATACTAATCAAATTTTTATTTCCAATTATACATTTTTTGGTGTGTTACTTACATATGTTTTTAACGGTATTGGTAATAATGTAAAATCAGACTTTAAATACCTGAAGTCGTCAAATATTTGCAACACCGTATTTAAAATAAATACATAACTGAGAGGCTTTCACGTGCCGTATAAAAAATTGCTTTAGGGACCCATGGATACCGCGGGCCGCCATTTGAGAGCAATAACTTGTAGAATCCCCCCACTGAAGACTTTCAGCTTAATTGCTATTTAGTTATGAATCAGAAAATTTGTCACTTTCTATGTAAGTAAGTTATGATTAATAATTCCTTAATCAGTTGTAAAACTGAATGTACATTTCAAGAATCATCTGAGAAATGTTTCTTTACAGTTTGTAATTTCGGTTACGGCTGGGAATATGGATCTGTCGAGGCCCTAACACCTTACAAGTCTTTCGTAAAACAACAAGTCAAAGCTAACATTGGTTTGAAAGTTGGTTTAAGAGGCATCAATGTTACATTAAAAGGTGAGTTTTCGCTTATACATGTTTGATTCTAGATGTTCAATATTATGGGGGCAATATGTACACCGCTGACCATTAAAATTGCTATACTAGGAAAGAAATTAAACAACACAATTATTACACATACATGTATAATAGGAAGAAGATATGATTAAAGTAGTTTGGGGTTCACGATGTGCAGAATTCAGTACACTGAGCTGCCACTGCAACAATAATGTTTGGGTATCGACATGAATTGAACTTAGATAACAAAAACGGGCATTTTTTTCATGCGGTTTCAGCTTTATACCAGAGTTTATCAATTTTAGTGGCTATCGGGGTTTTATTCTTAGCCCAATCTTTTGAAGGGGTTAGTTACCCATTTCCCACGGCAACTGAAATCAGTGTGACCTTCGAGAACACTGAACTCTTTCTAATTCAAATCGTTGAAAGTAAATACCAACAGAAAAGTAGTTCAAAGGCATGAGTTGCTGCTAAAATTCACTAGGTTTTAACACTACAGAGGCTGTTGACACATTTTTTAGACGATGTATATTGTATTCACAAAACTAAATTACATAAAATTCTTGTGTTTTAAATGTTCTATTTGACATCCCTTATTCTGAACTATCTTTCGACACCGCAATTTTCAGAATAATAATGCCTTTTGAAGTGGCAGAAGAGATATTTTATCCCATTCCTCCCGAACAGCTTTCCAGAGTCCTGTTAGGGTTTGGGGACAACGTTTGGATAATGCAGTTTTTAAAAGTCCGAAATCACAAAAATCCATAGGTGACACATCGGGAGATTTAGTAGGGATATCAGGGAAGGATATGGCCTTGATACCAGTTTTTTGTTCCATTTCTTTTAGGAAATTTACAGTGGATTTTGATGTGTGACTGCTAGCTTTGTCCTGATTGAGTCTCACAGATGATGGCACTGTGAGTAAAGTGATGGTATTTTATTCAGAAAAACTGGCGATGAAACATGTTCCTGATAGTATTTGGAGTTAATCTTGACATTTTTTTGCACTCTATTTATTTTTAACTTGCCATTATAAGAAAAACCAGCAACAATCCTGAATCCCTTAGAAAACCTTCCTTTCGATTCTTTGAAAACCATGTACTTAAATTTTTTTTCTCCCCTTTTATGATAATAAATGGCTCTTTTTTTGTTACAGTCATTTAAATACACCCATGCTCCATCTATTGTGACAATTGTTTTCCATTTTTCTTTGGGTAAGTGTTTCTCATATAGAAATCTGCAGCATGTCCTGCGTTGAGCGATAGTCTTTGGAAGAAGACGCTGCACATTGAGCTTTTTCGCTTTCTTAAAATTTAAATCAACTTTTATCATTTTGTTTACAGTGGACACCGAACATTTTAATGATTTTTCAACTGTCCTTTGACTAGGGAGATTTTCTTTTAACATTAAACAACGTACCTTTGCAATAGTCGAAGATGTCCGTTTTTGCCTTGGATACTTGTTTGGAATTTTTGTCCCACTTGAGGCTCCAATCTGACGTTTGTTTCCTTTCTTATTGATGATATTACCTATTGATGCTTTAGATATCACAAAACCATGACTTTCACATCGTTTTTGGATAACGGAGTATGCATATTTCTCTTCGGAAAGAGCGCAAATGTAGCCTTCGAACCACTGCTTTGTTAAATTCGCCATTTTGAATAAAAACAAAACTTTCAAGCCACAGACGATAATTTTAACTTTTAAAAACATAATACAATTGCAATTACTTCTTTTGCAGCAAACGAAATTTTATTACCGCTTACTAAAATCGTCTAAAAAATGTGCGAACAGCCTCTGTCTTGCTTAACCTTCTGGTTTGAGCGAATACATGTGGCGTAAATCAAAGGGAAGATAGGACAGTGTTTAAATAAAGTTTAACTATGAGTGAAACTTCATATAATTGTCTCAAATTATACGGACGAAATATAAACTACTGATAAATAACTATAGATTAATTTATTGTTTGTGCCATTTTATTTTTCAGTGAACTAGCACATGTATTTAAAGAAATTTCTGCATTTATCAAACTGCAGTACCGAAGTTAAAAAGCAAAATACATTTGGTAAGCTATGAGCTTTATATGAAGATTTCATATCTTCGTATAAATTTATGTGCTATAATTAAATTAAAAAAATATCTTTGCAGTTTCTATAATTCAGTTTTCTGAATTTCGAATCGCAGTCATATTGCTTTAAAAAATGCAAAATGAATTTATTGATTATTTAAAAGGAATGTTTGCGACGGAATCCCATGTATTAGAGGATTATTTTTCGATAGTAGAAATTATACCAACTTATTTTTTCTGTCGGAGGTTACCATTCCTAAAATTCATAGCATGGTTGTTTTGGAAGTAGCAGCATAAGTTAAAGCCATGTATGCGAATTTTATGCATACTGAATGTAATCATGTATTTTGAAATCTATTATTTTAAGGACAGTTCAAGATTTCTCTCCAAAAATGTCATATTGAAGGTAAAAATTCAATTTTTACTTTAACACAATAATAATAGAAGTGTGAACTTTCTATAAATAAAACATTTTAACAATGTTATGAGTTTAAGAAAAATAGTAGGTTAATAATAATAAAGAAAATTTTTTCGTTTTTTGGAGTCGAAAAAGTCTTACTGTCCTTAAAAGTGCGTTTCTGTACCATTATGGATCCAAAATACCATTATTACGTTAACTTTTTTTTTTTTTTTTTTTAAATTAATTGTCTTTACAAGATTTAAAAATTTAGGATGAAAGCATTTTCAATGAGAAATATATTTAATAATCATTTTATCATCACTGTAATGTACCATTTGTGTAGCATTTACGTACTTTCTCTTATATATTTCATTCCCATTTCACTCTAGGTATCCCTAAATTGCAAATCAACGAGACAATCAATTACAATGAACGATTCTCTTGGGAATGGGGTCAAGGAAAGCCTGGCTTTGGAGATGAAGGTAAGCAGTAAAAACATACCAGATTAACTTAGAAATAGATTAGATGAGAAAAATCCTTCTTAGTGAGCAAAACATTTGCATCAAAAGATGGTTTCAAAAGATAAAAATTACTTATATATATATATATGTCAACGCACATCACAAATTCATGCAATATCCTTTCAATTACTTTGTAGAGATATTAGGTTAATTGGAAGCAGGAGCCATGAAAAATTAGCAACGCTTTGGCCAGGAATCGAACCCCAAACCTCTGGAATACGCGCTCAGCGTGCAGACCACCACACCACGAAGGCATGCTAGGGAGGTGGGAAAAATACCTTATAACTTATGATGCAAAATTCAGGGTGCTATATTGTACATACAATCATTAACAGACCGTGCTTTTGATAGAAAATTTTCATTGAAATAGAATTTCATTGAAAGAGTTATTGTAATAGCTTTTGGAAAGTTTAGAATGGTGAAGATGTCTTAATACGATCCAATGGCTGCAGATGGTTTTGGGTAAAGAAATTTTAATTTATACAAAGTGGCGTTTTGGACGTCGAACTTATAACCGATGGAAACTCCTTGATGGCTAGACATTAGCCACTATGGTGCAGTTGGATACGTAATTGGATAACATATAACATTGACCAACCCCATATCTTCGAGAGTACTGCACGGAAGGTATTGTAATATATCCTGAATGTTATCCCTGCCAAATTATCTGTTTTAGAAAGTTGTTACATTTTGACAAGCCTATACAATATGACGAATTGTGGCTGGATTGACGAAACAAATTTATTTCATATTGATAGAATTAGTACTATGATGTACTACAATGAAGGAATAATACTAGAAATATGAGCGATTCAAAATCCACATATGCCTTTTTATCTTCAAGGAAATTGAGTACACATTTATTACCACACCTTTCTTTCTGAAGGAAGTGGACGTAAAGAAAGCCATCTCTTCTTGATGTGAATATTTTTTTAAATTCCCATTAAAACCAGAACTGTCTCAGCGACAGTGTCTGGATACCGCAATTTTCACATGGTATTTTGTATATCAAAGTACCAATGAAGCGGATTTTGAAAAGGAATGGATATTCAGCTGTCATTTTCCTATAATACGGCAAGCAGTTTCATCGGAAGTCAAGTTTTATTACGTGTTCCACCACATCCTTCAGAACACTATACGGACTGACTCTTCGCCTCCGTATAAGGCGGGAGATGAGTTTTATCATGTCAAAAACTCCTTCAAAAGAAGAATAAAAATCACTCGCTTCCCACGAAGCTCCTGGGTTCCCAAGCCAAAGGCAACAGATACTTAAAATTGAACTTTCTCTTATGCACCCATTACTGAACCGATTTCCCAGGGTTACCATTTTCAAAGGCATGGAGACCAAATAGGATGAGGTGCTTATTGAAACCGTAACTGGCCATCACGCTCCCTACTCAGATGGCATACGCCTTATCCTCCGGGACAGCCTAATCTGTCCCGGATGGTAGTAGGAACCGGCTCGTGTATCTTATGTCCCCATGTATTGTTAGAGTAAAATGCTATGCCTCTAAATTCGAAACAAACTTACGATTTTTGGTTTTGGTGATATCTAAAACACTTACCTTTAATGGGAATTTTGAAAAAGCGAACGCTGGCAACACGCACTGTGTATGCCACAATATGTACAGAAGCTTTTAAACCTGTTGCGTGTTAGCAACATATTATTATAAATTTATTATGCTGTTCTCGAATATTCATGCAAATTTCCAAATTAGTGTGCTCCTGATAATCGAATAATGCTTTAAATTAAAATAACCAACTAGTCCTGTCCAACGTTTAACTTTTGTTTCCTTTCCCAATGGTCCATTTCGAGTTTCGAATAATTCTTTTTTGATGTAATTAATATTCATGTTAACTCGTTTATCGAACATAGGAAACTAAAGTTTTTTGAGTGCTCAATGATCTCTCTCAGATTGTTTTTGACTACTCTCATTTTTTATTCTCTCCTCTTTTTTTCCTTCGCCTTTTTGAATCATATTTACCAAGATGATGATACCATTTTCTAATGCTGGGAAGTAGAATGTAAAGTAACAATAAGTTAAAAGTAAAGTAAACAATAGCTAAAGCAGGCAACTAGGGCCCCAAAGCTTATTCACCTCATAATATTTTTAAATTAACATCAAAACCTATCTCAAAATGCAAATAATAAAATTAGACCTTAATAATAAGGTTCCACTAATACAATCATCTTATTGATTCTATAATTCTAATCTTAAAATTTGTAATTTTAAATGTATAAAAATAACATCTACCTGTTTTCCAAAACAAAATTTAGAATTCTTTTTAAAATTGTTTACAAATCGTTGTTATCCATAGCTTCAAAGAAGAGAATAATTAAATGAAACCTTTTCATACATTACGATGTTTTCAAATACTGAGTCAGTGTTGTGTATCAATAGTTCGTATAGTTTTGCGAATAAATATGCCCAAAGAAAAAACAATAACCAAAATTTGAAATTTGTTTTTACTGTTACAATAATAGTAATAGTAATAGTTTTCACAGGTGAAGATATCCGGAGCAAATCATCATCATCCGGATTCATTCATCAATTTACTTTCCAAATATAAGTAGTATAGCGAATGCAAAAAGTATGGTAACAATTAACACTCTTTACACATGAACAGTGATCAGCTGATTTCGTTCACAGCATACACTCATTTTCTCCATACTATCCTTCTCTAATAATAAGTAAGATAATATTAGTTCTACAAAGTTCATTCACTCTTAAACCCACCGTGCTAGCCTAACGCAAATTTTGACATTGGCCTTTCCCAGTATATCTCAACAGATTCAGACTTAGGGATACTCTCTTCTGCAAGTGAGAAGAGGATGCTGACACGGACCATTATTACTTTCATTGCGTTAATACAAGAATCTTGCACTTAAAGAAAGCAGCGACTGTGCTTGGGCAACATGGACCTCCAATATACTCAAAAACAGAATAGTCTCTGGTAAAATACAGAAAATCTGAAGAAACTGTATAAGCAGAAATCACCGTGAATAACATTACGTTTGAAATAATCAGAATTTAAAGCTGATAACCAGGATAATTCTTAGAGTCTGGAGTTATCAAGCTAAATAATCCCCTAAGTACCTGGTCAGTGTACCTTAGAATAGTAAGGCTTGTATTCTTTCAGAAAAACAAAGTAGTCTCTGGTAAAATACAGAAAATCTGAAGACACTGCATAAGCAGAAATCACTGTGAATAACATTATGTTTGAAATAATCAGAATTTAAAGCTGATAACCAGGATAATTCTTAGAGTCTGGAATTATCAAGCTAAATAATCCCCTAAGTACCTGGTTAGTGTACCTTAGAATAGTAAGGCTTGTATTCTTTCAGAAAAACAAAGTAGTCTCTGGTAAAATACAGAAAATCTGAAGACACTGCATAAGCAGAAATCACCGTGAATAACATTACGTTTGAAATAATCAGAATTTAAAGCTGATAACCAGGATAATTCTTAGAGTCTGGAATTATCAAGCTAAATAATCCCCTAAGTACCTGGTTAGTGTACCTTAGAATAGTAAGGCTTGTATTCTTTCAGAAAAACAATGTAGTCTCTGGTAAAATACAGAAAATTTGAAGACACTGCATAAGCAGAAATCACCGTGAATAACATTATGTTTGAAATAATCAGAAGTTAAAGCTGATAACCAGAATAATTCTTAGAGTCTGCAGTTATCAAGCTAAATAATCCCCTAAGTACCTGGTCAGTAAGCCTTAGAATACTAAGGCTTGTATTCTTTCATCAAAAAGTGTTTAAATCTGAGCATTTATTTGGCGGGACTCAGAACGTGTATTAATATGAACTAACTATGGGAAAGAAAGACTTTGTAAAATACAGAAACTGCTAGTGATACATAATATTCAACATTGTAACTTAGTAGATTTTCTCGCTGTGACGGTGTATAATTCCATGTGATTCAGCTCCGTTTTCGGAAGCCATCTTAATGGTGAAGTCACTCATTCACTCGCTCTTAAACCATAACTACTTGGGCCGCATGTTGTAAAAATTTAGATTACCTTTGTCGTTTGTGTTACAAAAGATCCACGTCCCTTAGAAATGTGCTACTGTTGCAAAAAATTGTGTTGGAAACTATTCATTCAAAGTAACTAGTCAACACTTTCTTTTAAAGAATTTAAGATGCCTAAGAAAAAACAAATAGTGAGTATACAACTCAATTACTTTTTGCAATATAAAAGGAACTTTTTGCTGTTTTGTAAAGCAAGTATAAGGGAGGCTCTCAGATATGCATTTATTATTGCAATTTGTTTCGCCACTAGTTTAAAATGAAAAACAAATGACAGGAAATTTAAGTCAGACTTTCTGCTGTCATTTGATATAGGAATTTTTTATCTTAGATAGAAATAAAAGGCAGTTTATTCACTTTCCTTCAGGAAATTGATAAATTTTTTTTAGTACCAGCTTTAATGAGTTGCTTGATAAACGATTGTGGACCATTTTTTCCCTTCTGTCACATATTGAATGTTAATTTTAAAGTTTGAGTTTTGAAACAGGAAACTTGATATGCTTAATTTTGAAGGGGGAAAGATTTATGACTGTTTTAAAAATAATATTTTGGCTTTAGATTGTGACTGTGTCTTTAGAAAATGAAATGGATAAACAGTAAATTATGCTTTAAAACTAACATTTTGCCCATGGATTTAAACTATGCTTTCAGGAAACTAAAAATTTCAAATCATCTTACGGGATTAAGTATAAAAATGAGAAAAAAAAATTTTACTCAAAAGAAGTAATGATTATAATTATTTTGATAAAGAAAAATATTCCGTCCTATTCCATCAAATTAGAAGAATTATAAAAAAAAATTCTTTACTCATTTAAAGAGATGAAATAATTGCTTTGCTTTTAAGACAGATTCATGTGACGTGCCCATGGAACTGACAAGGGAACTGAATTTGGGAGCTACGTGGCCGGCTCAGTTCAAATCAGATATGCCTCAGTATACTGCTCTTCCTGATTTCGGAAAATAAAAAATGGCTAAAACATCTGATGTGGGCATCACGTTACGTCCTTGTACGTTCATTAAAATATACATACTTTTTGCCTCACTTCATTTAAACTTATTTCCTCGAATTAATCTAACTTGATTAAGCGATTCCTCAAGGTAAGCTGATGTAATAATAAGCATCTAACATTGCAAGTTTTGAAATTAAATATCCCGTTCATTTTTTGTCGTACTTTTTACGTATTTTTTGTCGTATTTTTTGTACGTTCATTTTTTGTCGTGTCAAACGTTTTGTACTAATATATTTTCATAGCAAGTATGAAACTTTCCCAAACATACGTATGGGGACAGGGAGACCGCATTAAAAGTTAAATTTTGTTATTCCCCCCCCCCAATTTTGTTTTAAATTTGTAATTGCGACAACTTGAATATCTTCGTTCTATAAAACATTTCTATATCTGGAAGTATGTGTCTACAACCCCCGACTGCGAAAATAAAGGCCAGGTACAGACTTTTAACCAGGTAAGGGGGACTGGATAAATTTATATCTATACACGAAAAAATCCAGTTTGAATCTATTTTACAATCCGTCTTGAATAAAGAGTTCTTTGTTCTGTCTGCAAAAAAAATAGTCAAACATTTCCGTTGAAATCTGAAACTCGAAATATTTCACGATTACAATGCTTCCTTTACTTTGTACAGGGAAGTAGAAAACGGGAAATGCGCTAGGAAATACGGTAGTAAAATTTTTCGTATTTTCTGTCAGTCTCTAAATCAAACTTCATTTAAAAGTCGACTAATAGTTATTTAAATATAGATATATAATATTTTATTTTAAACACAGCGGGGAGGTTGCAAAAGGAATATCGTGCTGCGCAGAGGAAAGGTCTGCCATACCCGATCTTATGGACTGTAGAATACTTCACTATAGATGAAGGAAATTTTCGTCATGGGCGATATTACCGAACTGCTGGTTGGTACTGTCACATTGCATTATGGTGAGTATTTACTTCCATTTCTCAAATAATTACATTTTTTTTGTTCTGTTGTTAGTATTGCCAAACGTAATTATTGGTGAAGCCAGTGGTCTGAAACTCAAATTGCATGCGAGATGAATGTTCCATCTAAAAACAGCTGACGGGACAGAGCTTTCTTTGAACCACATTCTGGCTAAATCACTTTTCATATTGTTGCCACCAAATGTTCCAAGGCCATGGCTGTAAACGGTTAATCAGGCTAAAAGATGGCAACTGAAATCAATGCGTGTGTCCGAGTCTGCAAGATGGAGTTCTTGGAAAGCTTGGATCTTGTATGGATACCAGTCTACAATGGATAGCAGAAGCTTCCGTACTGTCTACCCAGACAGGGGGTACTGTTACTATGGGGCTTTGAGCTTGCTGGAAGGAACGAGGTTCGTGTGACGATTATCTGTGACGTCAGAGCTTCTTCTAGCTTCAGTGTCCTGGCTTTCTTCTAGTAGGAAGTACTGACCCAGACGAAGACAAATCACGTGACACCGCTAAAGCACTTGTCGAAGAATACTGGGAGCCAGAACACGGACTACTTTCACAGTTTCATTTGAAAGCTGTTTCCCCTCAGCACGCATAACTCCCCAGTCATTTCAAATTTACGAGTCATCTTTTTCAAAACCTGCCTCGAAACAGGTCCTTCTCGTAAGCCTCTCAATAGTCAAAATTATCGCAGTGCAATTGAAAAATCACCACCGTTCTGATAAAACGGCTTGATCAGTAAAGCACGATCTTGCTTTTCTAAAGGCTTGTTGCAGAATGATTTCACAACTCGACTTCCAACTGTCGCTGAGGTCTGTGATTAGCATGCATTTTTGCAGTCTGTGTTCCGGCTATTATAAATTAATGTGCCTCTAAGGGCGCACTGGCTTTTTAAAGGGCTTCAGATTTGCGTAATGTTCTTTTTACATCGCCATCTGTCGGTCGAAATATGAACTATTAATCTGTATTACAGATTTCTTTTCCCCACGGTCCATATAACGTACATACCAAGTTTCAAAGAACTACATCTAAACCGGAACGTTCTCTACGCGGGTTTTAATAATATAGCATTAATTATAGCCACCTTTGTATATATGTATGTTCCTCATATTGTGGGAAAAGGACGGCACCTACAGCCATCCAATTTCGAATACACGTAGTCCTAGACCAGAGTTTCGGCATACTTGAAATCCACATTGGGAATTTCGAATTTGTTGATTTATTTCATATTTTATATAGTTTTAATAAATTTTTGATTAGCTAATCCAAAGCTTTGTAAGTGAGCAGTGCGAGAACCGTTGTATATAAAACATTTTTCCTTCCTACGCGTCAGATTGTTGAAATTCAGAAAAATGTAAGATTCTTATCTTTCAAATTTAATCTGGAAGGTTACTGACGTAAAAACTGATGGATTTAAAAGCAATAAACACAGTTCTTAAGAATATTTTTTCTGTTTTTTTTAATATGATTAATTTGGATAAAAATGCATTTAAATCATGAAACGTCTAATTACAAACATTAAATCATTCTATGTTACGACACCAGCTGGATTTATTGAGAACATTATGTAGTTTTCTTTCTTACGATAACTCTTTCAGACGAATGACCGCGCGAGCGGCTATTTTTAAAGAAATAATCTACCGAATATAAAAGTAAAAGAAATATACGGCAACCCCTAACACTTTATTACAGTAATTTAAAGATATGTTGTTTTTAAATATTTTATGACTTTGCTGTTGAATTTTATGTTGCGAAAATGCAAAGAATAAAGCTAAAAAGATAAACAAAATTGTGTCAGCAGGAGTGTGTCCAAGAGCACATTGGCAACCTGCGATGCTCAGCTAGAGGGGGAAAAAACCCTTAACAAAAGTATTTGTGCCACATTAAAATCCGGATCCTTTCAGATTTTACTACATTGTAATGTTTTAACTAAGCATAAAACGTAAACTTATTCGTTGTTTTTACAGGATGGCTTTTCCATTATGGCTCCTTACAAATATTTTATTCTTCATGGTTATTCGTTACGGAGCCTACTTCTTAAGTTTGACCGGAGGATGCTTACTACTGGCCAATATCTTATTCGCTTCCATCCGAAATGCGGTACCTGTTGAGATAAGATTTGATTCTAAACCTCTTGTTCTTCATTACGGATGGTGCTTCTGGTTGGTTCTTTTCACAGGTAAGTGGACACGTGTCGACTACAACTAATGATTTTATAAGATTTTATATTAGATAGACAGTTACTGTACTGCTGGAAGGAACAGGGTTCGTGTGACGACTATCTGTGACGTCAGAGCCTCTTCTAGCTTCAGTGTCCTGGCTTCTCACGTATATTCCCTTTTTTTTTTAACTAATTTTAATTGTCCAAAAACCGAGAGGGAGAGGTTATATGAGTCATTTCATTTCCGAAGAGCAAGGCTTCGGCAAGAGATAATCAATGAAAAGTAGTCAAGGATAAACTATCGGTAAATATCAGAATATTATGTCTTCAAAAGAAACTTAATTCAGTAAAAATACACAATAATATAACATTAAAATATCTAATAACACACATTCATTTCTAGTTTTCTGTAACGTGAATTATGCCCACTCTGAATATTGTCTCTGCTACTCCTTAGGATCACTATCGGCCAAATGGTAAAGTCGCTGAACGTTGTTAGTTCGGTCTGGGGTTCGTAATTCGGTGAACGAGCTGGCTGCATGAGAGGTTTCGTGGTTTTTGCGATAGGTAGCGTGGATACGAGCCAATTTCAAAGCCTTAGCAAATCCTCCATGAAGGCATCTCTTTCCTTAGGCAGATAGCCCTCGATTACTTTGCTATCATCAGATAAGCCAAAACCTGCTACTCCTTAGGCCACAAACCATTCAAAAATATTTAGAGAAGGTGAATTTGCAACCGTTGTGGCGAAATTGTAGAATGAATCTGTGTTTGCTTCGATGCGATCAGTCGGTTCTTGTATTATGCTAATATAATGCTCAACGGTTAGAAAGGAAAGGGTAAGTGTGACCATGAATGTTAGTTTACGATTATTTGTCTTTGTTAGTAAAGTGAAAGCAATCACTACGTGGACGAATCCATTTTAAAATTTAGGAACCTCTTTCTCTGAGCGCACTCAAGAAAATGACGCAAATATTTAAAAAAGGGTTTTTGAGCCTGGCGTTAAAGAGCTAGGAAGAAAATACTCGAGAGGGAAGATACAAACGAATTATTAATTAACGTGAAACTTTACTAATCGTTATTGTTTTTATACTTATGTAAGATCAACCTGCCATATTTTAATAAATGTAAATCATTGAATTTAATCTCCTGCAAAGTCAATCAAATCTGTTGTCTAAGCTCATGTTAATCCAAATTATCAAACATGCAGTTTACTAATATGAGATCCTTTGTCATCGATGAGACATAGTAAATTTCTATGAAACAGCTGGTAGATAACGAAACCTTATTATACTTCTAACATTCCGGCTATGGCCTTCTTTTTAAATCACTAATACAGCATTTCAGGAGTTATCCCACGCATGTGCTATATCATTCTGAAGTTTTAGTTATTTGGATGGCATAAACGGCTTTGCATTTCCGGTAAGTTCCAGTTCATTCGTTTGCTTCTTTCATGATGCTGCAGTTTTATATACAGGAGTGTGAAAAAACATAAACAATCAATTCATTTTCCAAAATAAAATATTGGCATGACATTGTAGAAAAGTGCTTTATTTGATCAGTAAAACAAAAGGCAAGCTCAGTAGAAAGATGATGCGTATGCAAATATCAGTAGCAATACATCAAACGATACGTCATAGCACGCAAAACGCGAGAAATCTACGCGGGCAGTGCAAGGCAACTTAAAAGAAAGGAAAGCTCATTTCGAGGCATGTTTTTACAAGTGAAATAGTGCATGCAGCGTGACTATTCCGGAATTGGCCCTGACGTCTGAGAAAATTCGCAAATAGTATTCTCCAGATTAATTCGCCAAATATCGGTATTTATACCAAATCTGCGGTATAATTACAGCTAGTCGGTGATTGGTTAATTTGATGTTGCTACATAACATAGAAGATTCTCGAATTTGGGAGAATACATGAATTTAGGGGAGATCACCAAATCTTGAATGTTAATTTTGAGGTCGCCAATTACTTTTAAAGTAGCTATCTTATTTTGTTATATCTTACATATCCCCCCCTTCAAAATAAAGGTCGGGAGAGCTGGGTGGCAGAAAAGCAATAGTGAATTAGAGAAGCAAGAGAAAGTTTATTATATGAGGATAGACATGAGGAAGCATCAAAGACATAGGATGCAGGTTTTCCTATGCCCCGGTCATGATTCATGACTTTTGTCATATACAGATTATTAATTACTAAACATACAATTTACACTTACAACAACATAGTAATTTCTAAATGAACTATATATTAAGACAAATATAATTTTAAAAGTCATTAAAAAAGTGTCCAATGTCTTTTTGAATGTCCAATGAAAATTTTGAAAAATCTGTTGACTAAAATAATTCTATCAGGTAAATGTTTAAATACTTTCGTAAGGTAAAAGTTCACTATTTGGCATAAATAGAGCTAGTATGTGATTGGTTAATTTGACGTTGTTACATAGAAGATTCTCGAATTTCTTTACGGCCTTAGCTATTTTTTTACCTCTCCTTTTATTTTCTTTCTATATATACTATATATACTAATATTTTTAAACTATATGTATAGATATTCAAACATTATTTAAAATTTTTTCACAGTTTCCATTAATCAGAAGACAAACAAGAACTGAAATTATACATAAGGGAATAATACAAAAATTATTTTAGCTTAAATCAAATTTAAGAAGCATTTAATATAACTACAACAGGAATTAAGGTAATAAGCTGAAATTTGGAAGAGATAGTCTTCGTTCGAAGAGATAGTCTTCTAAAATCCGTTCGTTTTACATTGTTATTAAAGTTGTAGGGATTTATATTTATTTTAACTAACAAGTTAAATTTAAGTTTTTTCCTATAAGCCTTCATTCCCCTAATTGACAGTGCCAAAATATTTAATTTGGTAGCGCGCGTGAGAAAATGCAAATTCTACCTTGAGAAAAAAACGTGCAAGTATCGAGTTTTAGAAGGAAAGTTAGAGAGTTAGGCTATTGCCATCACCTTTGTAGCGTGAGCTTCTGATTTCGCAGTTATTGTTGGTTTACGTAGCATAACAGCATTTACTTTGTTGACACTAGTTTCGACGCGGTTTTAAGTAGCAAGAGTTTTCTGAGCCCTGTAGCTTAATTTCTACTACTTGTGAATATCTTCGAATTTTTAGTTTAGTTCTGTTATTGCCCGAATTAAGCGTAGTGTGTTAGTGTCAAATTGACGCATTGTAGATTTTAAAGAATTTAATAAAGGGGTACTTTTAACCCTTCTCCTCTATAGTTCCTACACGTACTTACTACACATACAGTTGTTACTTAGAAGATAAGCAAGCGGTTTTCACAAAGTAAATTAAGTTTTTTTTTTCATTGGAAATTCGGTATTCAATTTTTAATACGAATCTAAATGCACTTTTCATTTGTAAAGTTTTTAATATCTTTAAGTTAAGAACAGGAAAGTAAAATTTCAACTAATTGATGGAGCTAAATCATTTTCTCACCCGCACTACCAAATTAAATATTCTGGCACTGTCAATTAGGGGAATTAAGGCTTATAGGAAAAAACTTAAATTTAACTTGTTAGTTAAAATAAATATAAATCCCTACAACTTTAATAACAATGTTGTAGAGTTGCGCGCCTCCAACCTGCACGCAACCAAGAGGTGACTGTTGAAACTGGAATTTAGACAGAGTCTTGCTAAGGGTTTAAGTCCCTTTTTATTCAACTTAAGAAATTACAATTGCGTGCTCTTGACGCTCACAAACTACGCCGACCCGGCGGTAAAATAAAAATAAGAACATGAAAAGAAATAATAACAAGACTCTAACTACGAGGCTCTCTAAACGTAACTAATCTCACCGCGTTTTACAATACCGCTGCTAATTCAGCAAACTTTGAATACCACGTTGAACGATTAACAATTCTCCGAGGCAAGCACACAGGCCAAAACGCGGGGTTCTTCAAATTCTGGCTAACTACCTCCGCGCTCGTGAAGTAATAACAGCACCTCGAACTCGTTTCCATTCTATTTAACTCAGAATACTTCCGCTGATAATTTGAATCCTTGCGCGTTCTACTAAAATTTACATACTCTGGCATTGGCAGTTCCAGGGGAAAGTAAAGCTTGACAGGAAAGATAGTTTAAACTTAAAATAAATGTTAGTTAAAATAAATATAAACCCTACAATGTAAAACGAACGGATTTTAGAAGACTATCTCTTCGAACGAAGACTATCTCTTTGAACGAAGACTATCTCTTCCAAATTTCAGCTTATTACCTTAATTCCTATTGTAGTTATATTAAATGCTTCTTAAATTTGATTTTGAAGCTAAAATAATTTTTGTATTATTCCCTTATGTATAATTTCAGTTCTTGTTTGTCTTCTGATTAATGGAAACTGTGAATACCTTTATTTATTTACAGGATTACTTTGCGAGGTATTGGTGGTAATCATCATCTTCATGGATTTGAGATTCCCAGAAGAAATAGCTGTGTTTTTTGGCACTAATATCCTTCAGGATTATGAAGACTACTACGTAGGTAATAATTCATCTTATGTTTCAAACCTGTGCAACTGCTGCCATGAAATTTAAATAAATTTAAATATTAAACGTAAACTTTCAGGACTTATTATGACGCTTCGATCGATAAATGAAGATCGAACATAAGGTGAAAATGAAATATGAAAACCTTTTTCAGGTTATAAAACCATCGAATTTTTAGTGTATACGCCAAATTTCATATTTAAAGTTTGTCATGAAATACCGAAAATGATGGAATGGAAAATGGTGCAATTACTCTGTATATATTGTTTTACATAAATAAAGGAAATTAAGGATATAAATTAAGAATTAAGAACTGCATAATTTAATAAAAAAGTGAAACTACACATTTCATAATAACTTATTTTCAGACCCAGCACAGCTTGGTCTAATACCTCCAGAAGTGGTAGCTGGTACATCGAGTCAGATTGACGGTGCTTCTCAGAAGAGATCCTCTCAGGTGAGCATCAAGATTCTGTTGTGTAGGGAATTTGTCTGATAGCGTTTTAAAAACTAGGTGAATGATTTTCTGATTTATGGAAATCTTAATTTTATTTGATTCTGAATTATTTATCTTAATGCTTTAATTTTGATGAAAAACAGATGCTTCTGGGAATATTATTTAGTTTAAAAGAATATTATTTATTTTTTCTTTTATTTGCAATTTTTGTACAAGCTTTGATTCAGTGTGAAAAGAAGCAGGGAAAGGGAGGCAATTTTTTGCTAAGTCATGATTTCGCGCGCTTTGTCCTTTAAAATGTTCTAGAAGGAATTTCATTGTGTAGTTGACCTTAAGAGAGGAAGTACGTGACAGAAAGGTCAAAGGTTGCTACTTGACTTTCAATGTAAATCTTTCAGGTTTTTGGCGATTGAGGGTCCGGTTGTTGGTTAAGTGAAGAAGGGCGCGCATGCGCGATCACCCTTATTTCCGCATTCAGGGGTTGAAAACGCAAATTTTGCCAAAATTAAGGGGGCGATAAGTGAAGCCATAGTGGGAGCCCGCGTTTGTGAAGGAGACGAAGGAAATTTGAGTTGGAATCACTTACTGGCTGGGCTGAACTTACTTTTAGGACGTTACTCTTGAAAACCTTGCTTGAAAGCGATAGAAAAGATGTAATTTACGAAGAGAGATGTTTCCCGGCGGGGAGCGGCAAATATGCTCCCCGGCCGCGTTTTGGTTAAGAGGCGAGACTTGCGGATTGGCTTGCTGAACTTACTTTTGGAGGTTACTCTTGAAACTTGCTTGAAAAAGATGTAATTTACGAAGAGAGATGCTTCCCTGCCGCGTTCTGGTAAAAAGGCGAAATTGAACCGGGCGAGTGACTTAAGACTTTCAAGACCAGGCGGATAGCCGTGCTGGTCAGTAGTGCTCCTGTTTCTGTTTTCCCGAGCTAAAATAGTTTCGTCATTATGAAAACCAGTTACCTGCGTGTTGACTTAAGACTTTGAAGACCAGGCGGATAGCCGTGCTGGGCAGCAGTGCACCTGTTTTCTGTTTTCCAGAATTAAAGTAGCTTCGTCGTTATGGAAACCAGTTACCTGCGTGTGTGTTTCGCCAATAGTGCTAGGACAGGACGATGTCTTCTGAAACTTCCATTTGTGACCGTAAAAATGAGCCCCGCCGACGTCAACGCTTATTAGGATACGAGTCCTCCACTTCAAGACCAGATAAGTCAATTTTTTTTTTTTTTTTTTTTTTTTTTTTTGTGTTTGAACTTCAAGTAAGGTTTTCAACGATTTTCCTTGGAATGTAAATAACAACGTTGAATCTTAATTTAATTCACAGGCTTTCAATTGTTTCCCTTTCCCCTTCTAAATTACCAAGACAACCTTAAGGTTTTTATATGAATTTAATCTGGAAATGGAAAAAAAAAGTAAGTAAATGACAAATTGAAGAATTCCACTTAGACTCTCTGATGAGGTTAAGATTTTATTTTTTGTGATGAATATGAATAAACTGATATTTAATCTGGAAACCTATTACAGTATGTTTCTTTATATATTTAATATGTTTTTCCTATATATCTTGTACATGTTTTTCGTATGTTTACGATCCTCTCACGGCGCGGTCCCGGGATGCATTTTTTCACAACGCAAATGCATTAAAATTCACTATACGATCACTAAAAGTTTGGTAATTAGCAAAAATTCTTAAGAGTTTAGTTTCCTCCCTAAGAGGAAGAAGAAACCTCTCACGGCAAGTAGTTTCTTATTTAACAATGGTGAAGTAAAGTTTATAACAATTCATACATAATATATTCTGTATTGCATCTTCAGGAAAAAATATATGAATTAAAAAAATGGTACTTATGTATTATCCTGTCGACCATAGAAGTTGACTACCATCGAAATAAAAGTTGGGGTATATCCCGCCAAAGTTGGATTAATTGTTCCTGTTGAAATTTCAAGGAACTGACGCCTCTTTATTTATTAAACCAGGGTGAAGAGTATTGTCTCTCTATTGGAAGAAGTACCATCGCCATTATGTTTAGTTGCTAGCGATTGCTGTAGCAACAGGGGTGGTATATTTGAAGTAGGGGTCTTATTGTTATTTGGTTTTGGTGAATAGTGGCCGTGGGAAAGAAAATTCGTCATTAAGTGCACCAAATTGAAGTAAATTCGTCATTAAGTGCACCAAACTGAAAAGCTATTCTACAAGAAACGTATAAGAAAAATCTGATATGTACATCACATGACTTCTTGTACGGAATATTAAATTATACGCATTTTTTCTTGCATTTCATTTAAACTTATTGGATTGAATTAAATCTACTACTATGAATTAAATCTACAAAGAGGCGTTAATAAATAAAGAGGCGTCAGTCGATAGCGCATAAACCACAACAGAATAAATGTACTCTTTAAAATTAACTATATTTGTTTACCATAGTGACACTCTGGAGCTAGGTTCACTTAACAGCGTTACATTTCGTCCATATTATAACTCAGAATGCATAAAATCTATATCATTTGAAGAATTATCTAATCGTTCTCACATGTTCTATTCAAATACTATAATAAATTTAGAATGATGTATAAAAGAAATTAAGCAAATAAAACAAAAAAGAAATAGTTTTCCACAGACGATTCAGTATTTCTCATTCAATTAATTCAGTTCTCACTTCGCGACAAGGCAAAAATACATAAAAAACTCAAAATATCTGTATTAAAATTACGAAGTAAATCTTAACATTCATTTCCTCGAAAAAATTTCAGAAAGGATTAAGCATGATTTAATTCGCAATAATAAATGAAGGCATTATCTTTGTTGTTGCGAAGCTTAGTCTCTCTAGATTGGCAAGAAATCTACTATTCTGCTGTTTCAAATGTAAACAAACATGTCCGCCATGTTATTTAAATATTAGGCTTAACCGCATTTAAACAACATTTAAATTGTTGATAATTGTACAAATACTGCTTGCAGATTTCCTAAAGCATAAAAACCTTAACCGGAAGATATGAACAACACAATTCAATCATTTTCAAGGCAAAAAATGCAAAATTTACAAACATGTAAGAGTAAAGAAACTCAGATCATTGAGCCGGGTAACAGAGTGGATATAACGTTTGGTGAGGCCGATTGCAACCAAAATACGAGGTGCACATCTACATGTTATAGCAGTCCTATATACAAAATTTCAACGTTCTGAGGCTACGCGTTTTTGAGTTATGCGAGATAATTACGTACGTACGTACGTACAGACACCACGAAAAATTCTCTTCAGAATCCATTTTAAACGAATTTTAGAATTTGTTTTGGGGAAAAGAGTATTTTATTCTATCTTTACGTACAGATATCACGGAAATACATCGTTAAATTGCATTGGAAAGAGGTCAAAATGGGATATTTTCGTTGAAATGTGCCGCCTAAAACTTTTCGCGGTTACAGTACTTCCTTTTTACTTTGTACAAGGAAGTAAAAATGAGTTAGAGTTCGTTTCTACGGCTATCTAGACAGATGCAAACTATCTGTCAAGAGCTGTTATTGTGATAGATAGAGCACAGCATGGTAGGATGTGCGAGATAATACTTAAATCTTTTGTTAAATATAAATAACTGTTTAAAAATTCCACGCACGATATTGGTTCGTGTGCGAAACACATTTCCCACGAAAGCCTCTTTAATTCTAAGGATTCCGTGAGTCGACACAGTTCGAAGATCACTGATGTACGTACGGAAAGGACAAGAGAGTTTACTCCTGTTTTTTATTCACACGTTAGAATGAAAACTGCTGCCGTGCTATACGAGGGTTTTTACAGTTTTCTTATTTTATAAGAACGAAACCGTTTCATAAGAGAGATACCTGTATCTGCCTGGCTAACTGTCACCTGTAAAATCACAAATAATGAACATGTAATAGTTACCCCAAAATAACTATTTTTTAATATTTTACTGCCTTTTAGGAAGTGTACACGCTTCGCAAACGGACCATGTCAACCCGATTCCAGAGATCATCACAAAGACATCCGAATCCTATGCCTCGGCAAAGAATTGCCAAAGGTCAAACGAAACGGGCATCAGAATTACCTGTGTATGAAAATCTCAGTCTTATGCGGTAAGATAAATCTATATTAATAGAGAATTACAGCATTTGTATACGCAGAGTTAATTGCTCGAAGTTTTACCATACTTTGGCTCAGATTTATACTCTGACAATCTCAGCTCTAGAAACGTAAGCTACACGGATCGGTTCCGACTGCCCAAAACGGTTGGCCATGTTGTCCCGAAAGATTGTGGTGTATGCCATCCGAGTGGGCAGAGCAATGGACACTGACAGTTTCAATGTGTTTCTCTCATTTCGTGCCCTTGGAAATGATTGCCCTGGAAAGCCCGTTTCAGCGATTGGTGCATTACCAGGGAGTTCAATTTTTAAAATGTCCGCAATCTGTGGATTGGGAACATAGAGGCGATGCGAAGAACGAATGATTTTATTGCTGCTGTCATCGGAGCTTCTGACATGAAAAGCCACTTCGCGCCTAGTACGGACGCAAGGTGGTTTGTCCATGTAGTGCCCCAGTCGATGAGAGGAAACCCGTAATAAAATGCGACTTACTTCTCTGATGAAAATAAAAAAAAAAAAAAAAAAAACTGATAATTTTAATTTCAGTTAAGTTAGTGATCAAAAGAAGTAATTAAAGTAAAGAACTGCTTTCTTTTATATATATACAGTAGGAGAAATTTTACATAAATAAATGCATAGATGCTAATTTCTCAGATTCATACCAGTTATTAAAAATTAATTAAAAGCGAGAAGATCATGGAAACAAGCCAAAACAATATCGCGAGCTTTATTTTCTCAGTCTACAGCACCCCTCGTTTTCGAACATTTTGCATAATAATAGTTTTATCAGTTCTACGGAAGTAAAACGCAATAATAATAATAATAATAATAATAATAATAATAATAATAATAATAATAAACACTTTTCCGTATTTGCGTAACACTTGCGTGTTATCGCAAAAACTTTAGTGGAAATTCCGAAATTTTCGTAATGTGGCAATCATGCGCATAACCATTCTTTAGGCAACCATGTTCAAAACAGTCCTTCAATTAAGCAGCGTCGCCATTTTCGTGTGAGTTCCTTTTGTTATTTTCCAAGTTCCAAAAGGTTCTTATAAACAAATCGTGATATTTTTTGCTTTAAACCTAATTTTAAAATTTGTGCTTGTGGAATTTTATCAGCAGTAGAAGAAACTGCTATCAAATGCTACAGGAATTCTACTGTAAATTTTCTACAGGAACACACAATTTTACCGCAAAATTTCTAAAGGAGAGACAAACTAAAGGAGGAGAGATGCTTTTAGTACATAACCGTTTTAGTTGAGGTTTGCGCGATGCCGAGTCTCTACAATTATCAGATGCTCTTTTAAACGAAAACATCATTATGTACTTGGGAAGAAGAATGCCGCTTAAAAATTACAGAAAGATTTGGAGACAAATGTAAGTGCTTTATTTTTTAATGTGTCACGTAATCCTTATTTAATAATTAAAATATTAGTTTAAAGTTGCTAAAGTATATTTTCTTTTCATATGTTGATACAGTTTGCCAACTTCAGATAATATGCGCCAATGTTTTCGTTTTAATACACAAATACATTTCAGAAAAATGCTTCTGTCCTAGAACACCTTTGAACGGCACTTTTCTGTCTGCATCATTGGGGATAAAGTAATATTTAGTTATGTGGTTTCGCATACATATTCTCATTTTATGATGTGGAAAGAAAGTGTGCCCTAAGCTTTGTTTCGCTAATTCAGCCAACCAGTAGAAGCCTGTTCTTAATTCTTGTAGGAAAGCGTATTTGGGAAAAAATTATCTGTAGCATTTCGCATTTGTAAGTCTGATATCAACATAATGCTTGGTTGCATTGTGTTAGCCTATTCTCCTTATAGTTTCAGGGTCGCTGCCTGTAGTGCAACATACGCAGCACTTTTTGTGATAAGGTGATTAAATGACCGATGGGGTTCATCTATTCGACAAGAAATGGTTGAAGCACGTATCCGGCTTTCATCGGTGAAAGCCTAATGAATCAATTTCCGGGCATTGGAGGGGGTCTGAAATTGGCTGCTTCCGCTTGTAGAGCTGATTTTGTGACAAAAATTTTTGTTTTGCATAAAGACTTAAAATGAAAAAAACAATTGTCATAAAACATTTATTTTATTACAGCCAGTGAATGTATTTGATTAACGTTTCTTCCTATTTTAATTATATATTGTTTATTATTAGTCTTATAATGTATTATTTTTATGTTTATTTTATTGCTTATTTAGTCATTTATTATTATTGTTATTACCGTATTTCCTCCCGTAATTTTCGCCTTAGCTTTTTAGAGCCAGGTTCTGAAAATTTTAAACATATGCGCCCAAGTTTTCGCTTTCTCAAGGCGTTCAGAGAATGAACTCCCCTAAATTTTAAAATGGATTTGCCCGCTTGGTAATTGTTTTCGTCTTGCTAATAAAGAAAATCTCTGACAAACTCTCAGTGAAATTCACCAAGAATTCACCCTTCTAACGTCGAAGGAGTAGTAGAAACAGGCGTAACAACGGATAAGAATTAAGTCACAGGAAAGCAGATACATTACACAGGAAATTCAGATATCTTATTAGATATTGTAACGTTAATATTACAGTGTGTTGTTACTGGAGTGCCGTTTTCTTTCGAACGAATAATATTTTCATAGTTACCTATAGTTATACATTACTACTTTTCATGTGTTAGGTTCGCATTGTAACGGCGTCCTTTGAAAATTAAATTATTCGTATAATTTTCCCCTCTCGATTTTTGAACCAAAAAATTAGTTGAAAATGGGGAAAAGTACGCAAGGAAATACTGTGTGTTGTTATTATTTTGCTGAAATTCAAGCTAAGAGCTATTTCCGCTAATTTTTAAATTAAAATACATTCAATGTATATAGCTGAAAACATTCGTTTCTTTTGAGATAATTAGCAGTAATATAAAACTGAGCAAAAAAATTTAAAAAAAATTCGATTGCAGCAAATTAGGATATGTAAAAAATAATAGTTTATTTTGTCTTCTTGCATATGGCCTAATTAGAATTATTTTAAATAGGATTTCTGACAAATTATAAAAAGAGATGCTTTTTTTATTATTTCGATAAACGGGAGAAATACAATAATGACGCAATATTTATTTCATATTTGAAATTGTACTTTTGGAAGGCGATCCTAAATTAGTGATGCCTGCAAATTTTTTATTAGGCAGTTCTTTGCCGTGAGTAGCAATTTAAATCTTACGTATTACAGTTTTAGTTTGGAATAGCAGAACATTTACCATAAGCAGAGTCCGGATTTTGATGACCTAAAAATTCATTCAAAATGCATTTAAAAAGGGCCGGAATATGCACTTAAAATGGGAAAAATTCCTCTAAAAAATAAAAATAGTCCCATCTAAAATAAAAAAAAAGTCTACATAAATAAGAGAGTATCTGTGTGTTTGGTCTCTAATAACAATTCGCAGTTTTATTCTGATCTTGATGAAATTTGGCACACTTCACATTCAAAATAAAAGAAAGGTAAATGTTTTTATAAGAATTCACACCAAGGACTCCTTATCAGGGTGTCAGAACGGTGAAGGCGCCCGAACTTGAAAGTGGTTAATGACTCTGCCTGCCGTTCTAAAGAGAGCAGGTTCGAAACCCGAAGAAGGCATGGGTGTAAATTGTCTGTCCCTTCAGAGGAGATAACGGTGGCCGTCTATTAGGTTGTAGAGACATTACGTTTTTGGAAGCAGGAGGCATGAAAAATGAGCAATGCCCTCGCGGGAATCGAACCTTGGACCTCTCGAATACGCGTCGAGAGTGCTGACCACTACACTACACTACGAAGGCATGCTAAGAAGGCGGGGAGAAATACCTTCTAATGTGTTCCATAATAAAATGACCACCATGTCTGGCTTGAGAAGTGGCTAAAGCTTAAAAATGTGGCCACCACAAAAATATCAGAACGATGCACTCACGCCATAACCCATCTTAAGTTCACGTTCAAGTCACCGTAAAAACACCTTTAAAGTTCAAGTCACACTTTTAAAAAGGTTACAAAAAAAAAAAAAAAAAAAATACTCAAAAGATGGTAAAAAAAGCTATGTCATCAAAATCCGGGTCTTGATCATAATTAAAGATTTGAAGTGATAGTTGAGCAAAATTTAGAAAATAATAATGGAAGAAACGAAACGTTTTAAGGAATGTGTATGAAGGGTAACTACATTAAAAAAAAAAAGAAAGCAAAAAATCGAACTCATGACTTAAAAAAAAGCGTTTACACATAGTAATAACAAACCAGCATAATCATAATGCTTTTTGTTTTGTTTTTGTTTTGTTTTTTTGCTTAATTTTACCGCTTTTGCTGCCATATTTAATTTTATTTATATATTCTAATTATGACAGGAGAAATTTTGCCGATTTGCACAATGCCTATTCCTATAAAACTTTTGAAAATTCGAAAGAACAAGAGGTAACGATACATTTTATTTGTAATTATGCCACACTTCACTTTAAAAGTAATCCCTTTTTCGATAGCGGCCAAAGTCGTTTTTAATACATATGTTATAAACAATGTTTTTGCATTATTCATGAATGTAAACTGAAAGGACAATATTTTATACTATTAAGCTCCCAGTTCTCTCTACTGAATCAAATAAACGAAAGCGTGAAACTCTCTATAATATGAATTGCATGGGAATGAGAATGGGGGAATTAACAAGGAAAGAATAAATCCAACTTTATAATTCTGCATGCGTTTTTGAGAGTTAATATTAAACAAACATTAAACGAAATTAAATAATGAATAAATATAATTAAATAAAGATTAGATGAAGATGGATGCAATTAATTTATTGTTTTATTTTACAACATAGCTCAATCTCTGCGCAACAGTCAGAAGTTTACGCCCAGAGGGGGCGTAATATAGAATTAAAATTTCGTGTTAATTCTATATTATCGAAAACCTATTTATTAAATATTATTACCCTTATTTATTAAATATCATGTTCTTCGTATTTAAACCGCATAAAATTCAATTCAACAGTAATATAACAAAATATTTAAAAACAGACATATCTCTAAACAAACATATCTCTAGAATTTCTGATACACAGCCTCGAGCGCTAGAGATTAATTTTTTTTTTAATACAGTGTTGCCATTACTCGCTTTCAAATCGTTGAGTTTGTTGAACAAAAATTAGTTAAAGTTTTAGGAAATATGAAATAGATAATAAATGAAATTTGAAATTCAAAATTCGGGCTTCCAGATCCCCATGATCGGATGGAGGATTACGTAATTCAAAATTTGATACCTCTAAGTACCGTCGTTTTTTTCACAATGGGAGAAATATACATACATTCATGCAGATTCTTCATTATTTAATTTCTCAAAATATAATACAGAGCGAAAATATTTGGTGGCAACATTTTGAAAAGTGATTCAGACTAGAGTGATTCAACGCAAAATGCCGTTTCGAGATTTTTACTGCATTTTATGTAATGATTTCTCCTTTCAGTTTATTACGTAAATATTTACTAAATGTTATTGATTTGTTTAATTAAAAGTTCTTGTATATTTGGCGACAAATAATATTGCTTAAATTACATTAAGGAGGGCCCACCAGCGGCCGAGCGGTAAAATCGCTGAACACTGGTAGTTCGGTCCGAGATTCGAATCCCGCGAACGGGCTGGCTGCATGGGCGTTTTCGTGGTTTTCCCCATGTGTAACATGTATACGAGCCAGTTCCCCTTAGAAAGTCCTCCACGAAGGCATCCCTCCCCTTAGGCAGATAGCCCTAGTGTGCTTTGCCGTATTCTCAATACACCACCACACCATTAAGGAGGCGTCATGTTTTAACTATTCCAGTAATTTATTTTGACATGTCACCAAGAAAATTTTCTCTAACTTTTCCTAATAATTACCATATTCCCTCGTGTACATTTCCCTTCGCGTATTTTTCCCTCTGGCTTTATCTTTTTAGCTCAAAGTTCTGAAAATTTAAAAAATGTTCGCGTAATGTTCTTTTTCCTAATGCATTCAAAGAACGAGCTTCCCTAAATTTTAAAATGGATTCATTCACCTAGTAATTGTTCTCGTCTCTGTAAACTACCCGCGAAGGTAACGCCGGACCTTTCCCTTCTAACTGTGTAACATCATATCAGCCTAATACTAGAACCGACCCATCACAGCGAAGTAAAAACCAACTAACATTTATTCTACGATTTCGTTAAGTCGGCTGCCTATTTACGTTCTCTGATTATTCATAGACGATTAAAGACCTAAGGAGTAGCAAAGGCAACACTAAGAACGGCTGAGATTGATAGAACTGAAGCTATCTTATTAAATACTGTAATGTAAATATTACTAGGTATTTTTATTTTAATGTGGGATTCTTTTGAAGAAATCATACTGTGATAGTTACCTGTAATTTATCCATGAGCACTATTCATTTGTTATGATTTTGCTATAACCGCTTCTTTCGAAAAGTAAATTAATCGATTTTCGGACAATAAAAGCAGTAAAAGGATATAGGAAAATACGTGAGGAAATACGGTATTATATTTTAGGAAAGTTCTTGGACACTAAACTACATTCGCATTTTTAAGCTATTATTTAGACGTAATATATTAAAAACGAGTTTGGCTGTTCAAAAGTGTTTATGTTTTACTAATATTATCTTCTACTTTTATTGCTTGTAATGAATATTTTTAGCACAAAATGTTGACTAATTCCATAAATTTAGGACAAAAATTATGCATAATTTTTTAGTAAAATTGTGAGGACGAATCTAATTAGCTGATACAATAATATTTGTTTCACCTTCATGGATGTTTTCGATTTCTCCTGTTACCACGTTTTAGAAGTCGAAACTCAAAGAATGCAGACAAGAATCTAAAACCGAATTAAATTGCTTATTAAAATTATGTCTTTTACTGTAACTAAATTCTATCCTCTTAACGCAATCAGTCCAGTTAATCTCGGATACAACAATCTAAATTATTTGCTCTCCCTCCGAATAAATACATTTAAGAATTTTTTATTCAGATATGAATATAACAGAATATATCCGCTGCAATTTTGTGTTAAGATAAAGGAGATTAAAAGAGATTGAGTTAAAAAAGCATTTTCTGATAAAGAAGGAAATTAAAAGAGTTTCGCTTAAAGAAAAGAATAAGAAAAGACCATTTTCTGAATTTCTGTTGGTGCATTAAGGGATAAACAAAACGTAACTTTTCGTTTACTTATAGTATATCAGAAATTAAAATGTTTAAATCCTTTAACACAGAAGATAGTTTTTATTTCCGCACAAATCTGAATCCAGTTACATAAGCTTCTGGTCCGAGAGCTCACTATTACAAAAATCGCTCATCAAACCCCGATTGTTACCCAAATCCTGGAGTTAAACAGGTTTACAGTGGACTACTCTCTCTCTAAACTACGAATTCGTTCGTTATTTAATACTTAAACTAATTGGCATTCTGGTGATGGATGATGGAAGGAACAGGAAAGAATTAAAATAAAAAGGCTAATCTTTGGAATATGGTAACAGGTAGTTTGGCGACATTTTGGTAAGGCGATAAAGGTTACTAGCTAGGACTTTAGCAGTGTACAAGGATAAAGTCAAGAGTGTGCGCAATGCCATATTTGTGCAATTCTGGGATTTTTTTTTTTTTTAGTGAAAATAGGTCGACGTGTACATGGATACCGTGTATATGCAATTCTTAAAAACGCGGCAAGCAGTTTGCGATTCTGCACTTTCTCCCAATTTCGCACCTAATCTTCGTCCTGATTAAGCACTTTAGTTCCATAAAAGTTCTAGCATAAGCGTAATTCGGCTAGCAGATTGTTGGAAAAATATGTTGAGTAAAAAAAAAAAAAAAAAAAAAAAAAACATGCCTTTACTTCGTGAAAACAAAATGGCGTCCAAACAAAAACTAGCAGTTGCTGTAGCAGAGTTGGTGTCGCCAAATTTTCGCCAAAAAATCGCCAAGTTACCATAATCCAAAGATTAACCAATAAAAAAGTAATATAAAGTGTTAGATCAAATAAATCTTACAAAATATGATTAGTTATTCTATATTTTTCAGCTTTGATCCTATAGGTGAAGAAGAGGAGCCTAAGACTGGATCATTCGAAAGGATTCTTCTCAGAGATATCAAAAGTTTGAACGAGAGGCCCGAAACTTAATCTCATCCTGTAAAACTTTTATAAAAGCAGATTATTAGTGGATTATAATTCAGTACATGAGTCGTTTGTGTCACAATCAACTGGTCTATCATCTCGTTTCTCTAAAGTGTTCACTTTTAGAATAGCGAGTTTATGATATCAGTAGTATTTTTCAGTAAAATCCAATTGTTTAAATGGAAACTTTAATTGCAATTTAAACACAACTGCACAACTGCCGCTTGTTTAGATTGTCAGCGTAGAAATTTGGTTAATGGGTTTTGCTGGAATTTTATTATGAGGGTAGGAATTTAATTAGTGTATTTTGTTGCAGTTTTTTTAAAGGACAATAAAATATTTCTATGCATTTTTATGCGATTTGTTTAGAAGCATAGAATTTTTTTAATTTCAATTTTTAAAATTATTCCAGTTTAAAACAATTACAAAAAAATTCTTTACAATTCAAGTAGATATTTAAATTGAAACTTTAATTGCAGTTTGTGTAGATATAGATATATTGTCGATATAGAAATTTAGTTAATGCATTTTGACGCAGTTTTTTTAATGACAATAAACTATCCCTATGTATTTTGATGCAATTTGTTTAGAATACCAGTGTAGTATTGCAACTGATTTAGATTGTCAATGTAGAAATTTAGCTAATGCATTCTGATGCAATTTTCTTGGTGACAATAAACTATTCCTGTGCATTTTGAAACAATTTTTTTAATAAAAATAAACTACCCCTACGGATTTTGATGCTATTTGCTTAGATTCTCAAAGTTAAAATTTTTTAATTTAAAGACCACAACAAACATGTATGTAAGAGAACAATAATTGAAGAACAACTTTAAGTACTATTTATGATATTCTTTGAATTATTTTTCAGTGTACATAAATCTAGACATTACAAGCATATGAATATGTAGCACATTAAAAAGTTAATATTTGTTTAATTAAATATTATTTATATACTCATTTTCTTTTCTTCTCTGCTCACAGAAATAAATTAACATCATCAAAGTGATTTGCGAACTCTGCAACAAAATCATTCATTTCAATTAATAACTAACTCATCATTCATATCAAAGCGTACTAGCGGCCTAGCAGAAAAAGTTGCTGAAACTGGTAATTTGACCTGAATTCGATTTCAGGCGAATGAGCTGGCCGCATGGGTGTTTTTGTAGTTTTCTCCATATGTAACATAGGTACGAGGCAGTCTCCCTTGAAATGTTCTCCAGGAAGACATCCCTCAACTTAGGTAAATAGGTTAGGTTTAGGTTTTTTTCGTGACGTCAGTACGTACATATCCCCCTTTTTTCTGAAATTGTCCACAACAAACGTGCGTGTATGTGTCTGTATATATATATATATATATATATATGTATGTATGTATATATAAATATTCATTTGTCTTACCCGGCTTGGTGAGTTCCTTTTTTTGTTGTTGTTGTTCTTATATGTTAGTAAATTGTGCATTTTGTGTTTTAAGAGTGATTGAATTATGTTTGTCTGATGTTCTGGTTGAGATTTTTATGTGGTTAGTTAATCTGCATGCAATGGTTGTAGAATTATCAACAATTTAAAGGTGGCGCTGGGCCTACCGTGGCGGCTATTTGTTTATATTTGAAACGTTTAGTAGTACAGTGAACTAAATAAGTGTTGCACTACTTTCAGCGTCTTTTTGCCTAGTGGGACCAAAATTAACTGTTGGCCGAATTGCTTGTTTTTGCGCAGAAACTCTAGCTTTAATTGCTTTTTTAAAACCATTTTTAGCTGTATTTGGTGTTTTAGTTTTTTTTTCTGTATTTTAGAAATTTTAATGAAGATGTTTTGAATTTTTATGTATTTTTGCCTTGCCACGAAATGAGAACTGATTGTTGAATGAAAAATACATCTCTAATGAAATTCGAGAAAATAAGTTAAAATGAAGTGCAGCAAAAAATGTGTATAATATAATAGGACGTGTAAAGAAGTCGTGTATTGTACCGATAAGATTTTTTGTTATAGTTAGTCGAATACAGCAGAGCATGTAAGGGTTCTGTATCCAAATCATGCAAGTTGCCTTCGGAAAGACTCTTTTAGGAAAATTACAAAATGTTATTCACGTTACGTGAAATGTTATTCATGTGCTTTTATTCAAGTTAACATCCGAAGGAACATGGATCAAAGTAGACGATCCTATCCATATCAGGCCAGTGATCTCAAACTGAAATTGCTTGCGAGCCGAAAGCATGACCTGGAAATAGCTGACAGAGCAGAATATTTTTTTAAACAAAATGAGAATTTTTTCTCAATAAAATGAAAAATATTTCAATTAAATTTAAATCTGAATTACTAAATATTTATCCAAACACACGTAAACGATATTAATAATGTAGCAAAGAAAGAAATTCAAATTTATATTTATTTTCTATTTAAAATTTAAAGTTGGTACCCCATAAAGAGATTTACGTGAATAAAATCTTGTAATATAAATATATTCATAGTAAAATATTAAATCCTTAATCTGAGTTTTTTTTACAAATAATTCTAACGTATTTATCAATTATTATTTAGCTTAACTTAAAGTAATTAAATTTTCTTATATAACTTAAAGTAATAAAATTTTCTAAATTTTAGAACGAAATTTCCAGATGAGACAAGGTTTGAGACGAAAAAATAACAACCTAGTCTGTTTCTAAGGGAAACTGGATATATTGATGTGACACGTGGAAAAACCATGAGAGCGCTATGCAGCCAGCTTGTCTGCCAGGAATTGGCTTGTGGTCGATAGTGTTCAATAATTTTACCAATCGGCCACTGGTTGCGGCCACTGGATAATTTGAAATTTTTGGTAAGTTGAACTAAATAACTCACACAGGGGAATTCAAGTTTAATTGGTTATGGCACTGCACACGATGGGCATTTGCCTATGACACGATGTTTTCGTGGAGGACTTTTAAGGGGAACTTACATTACACAAGAAAAACAAACCACGAAAACGACCGTGCAGCCGACTAAGAATCTGTGATTAAAATTAAGGCTAACTTTTCTTAATCAGTTGAATTTCTTTATCTTGAAATATTTGATACGTAGACTATTTTTCGATTTATTATTATTATTATATTTCATTTTTTGATAAGTATAAGTCAAACATTATTCAATGCATGATATACACAAAACTCCTCAGTTATTTCTCTCAGCAAACAGCTGTATGCTTGTTTTTCTGACATATTCTTAAAAACTTTATTTTAAAACGAGTTTTAGATAAAGTAGAAGTTGTTTTAAAAACATGCAAGCCATATTTTTTTTCTTTCAATAGAACAAAACCGAGCTGTTTAATATTTCACATCTTTATTTAATGCTGTAAACCAGAGGTTTCTAACTCGAATTTCATGCGGGCCAAATAAATGATCTAAAAACAGGCCAGAATTTTTTTAACAAAATAAAAACTTTATTAACAATGTATAAATATATGTATGTTGTTAATAAAGTTGATATATATATATATATATATATAAACGTGAAAGCTTTAGGATTTCATATTACACCCAAAGATACCTTTTTTTAACGTTTTGTGTGTTACCTTTATTTATTAAATATAATGTCTTTCGCACTTAAATCACTAAAAATTCAATTCTAAAACAATATCACAAAATATTTGAAAATAGCATATCTTTAGAATTTCCCATACAAAGTCTAGTGCTCTGGAGATAATTTTTTCCCACCCTACAGTGTTGCCATTGCTAGCTTTGAAATCGTTGAGTTTATTAATCAAAAATGCGTTAAAGACTTACAAAATATCAAATAGATAATAAAACAAATTCAAAATTTGTGCTTCCAGATGCCCATATTCGAGTGGATGATTACGTTATTCAGAATTTTATGTATCTATGTACCATCATTTTATACGGCGCGAGAAATATTCATTCATGCAGATTCTTCATTATTTAATTTCTTTAAATGCAATGCAGGGCTCTAATATTTGGTGGCAACAATTTGAAAAGTGAAACGCCATTTACAGTGAACCCACGCAAAATACCAAAGCGAAATTAATAGTCCTACTGCGCAAATTGCGCTTTTGTGCTAATAATAAATATTTCACTGAATTTTAAATTTACATAATATTTATCAAAGCATACATAAATAATAATAACTATAATACAAATTTATATATATATATTTTATCTAAGATCTTGCAGAAGTTAGGTACTTGCAAGAAATGTTTTGGCTGCACTTTGCAATTCAAATATATTGACAGGTTTTCAGACTAGCGTTTATTTCAAATAATTCTAATATGTCGATTAATCATTAAATAATTTACTTTGAATTAAACTGAAAATAAACAAATTATGAAAACTTTCTAAGTTTACGGAGAAAACTTTTCAAGCGGGGCAAACTTGAGAACAGATAAGAACAGCCTAGTCTCTTTCTCTTATGCATAAATTTTTCTTTGGCATATAAGTAAAAATACATATATTTGTTTGTAAAACATTTTTAAACAATTTTTAAATCTCTATTTTCATTGGACAACCGAGTTCTTTCGTATATATATATATATATATATATATAGATAGATAGATAGATAGATAAAGGTTGTTTGTATATAAACGCATACAAACCCCGCCGAAAAAAAATTAAAAAAAAAATTCTTAATGTAAAAGTTCGTAACTGAGTTTATTTAATTTTTAACAAGTAAGAATAAAATTTAATCAGTTCTGTAGCTTCAGATTCTTTTGTTTTTAACGGTTGCGAAAATAATGTAAATTCGAACTTCAAATAATTAAAATTTTGAAATCTTTTAATACAGTATTTGCAACAACAAACTGCAAAGCAACCAACATGCTTTCTTTAAACAATTAAAAGATAGGACCACCATTGCTTTTAATGAACAATTTGCCTTAAAAAGATTTTACTAATATTTCTGCTATTAAAAAAGTCAGTATATAGAGATTACTAAGTAAGATATAAAGAAAAGAAGCCTGAAAAGTTTCAGATTTAAACGATCACTCCAAAGGATTTTTTAAGGGTTTTTTCGCTGTCTCAGAGCTTGAAGTTCACTAGTCTGGCTGTTGCATTCACTCCTGCTAAACCATCAATTTTTGTCTTTTTAGCTTTATTATTGAGCATCGTTTCCTTTGCACTTTCCCCATATACAATTCAACAGAAAAATTACAAAAAATTTAAAAGCATTTATAAATTATGAACATAGAACTACTTTTAGAATTAATGATTTTTAGATAATTTAATTTTAATGATTTTTTGATATCTACTTTTAGAATTTTTAGAAATAATGATGGAGTGTTAAGTGCTGCCATACATTTTTCTATTTATTTTCAGTCTTTTCTCATTTCATCATATCAGCTTTCAGTTTTCTTAGTAAGATTGCTTGCAAAACTTTTTTTTTTTTTTTTTGTCTTTTATTATTAACGTTTGTGTGTGAACTCTTTTTATTAAATATCATGTTCTTTGCACATATGCCACATAAAATTGAAGAGCAAAAACCACAAAATATTTAAAAACAGCATATTTTAAGAATTTTCGATTGGCAATCTCGCGCACTATAGATAAAAATGTTTTATTCCGCACAGTGTTGGGCTCTTTCAAATCGTTGAGCTTGTTAATAAAAAATTAATTAAAGCTTTATAAAATATGAAATTTTATTTCGAAATTTGGACTTGGAGGTACACATTTCGGGTCTGCTAACGCCCTCTTGGGCTAAAAATACTTTGTAAAGTTTCATCATTTTCGAGGCCTACATCGCCTTATTCTTCATCATACGCATATAACATACCGTTCCTCCATTAATTTTATTGATGACTTATTTTTCTAACCTTAGTACGCAATTAATGAGTTGAAATTCTCGATATGAAATGCATTTTGTCATTTTTGCTGCATTCCGATAATTTTCATGATTCGTGTACCTAATAATATCTATCATAATTTATTAATACGTATATATGTCTAAGTATGGTGTTTACAAAAAATATCGCTGC